CGTTACAGAGAAAATTAGCCTAGCCCCTGTGCAAAGAAGCCATGCACATTTGTGAAGCATCCCATATTTTTTCCATACCTTAGACCAAAAGAGCTGCAATGTCCTTTCTCACCAGACCTTCCAGACCACAGACCCTGTGTCCTCAGCCCTCAGGATCGTGTACAGGATATTTTGGAGTCCAAGGCCTGGATTGGAAGGCCCAGTCTGGGTGGGAAGCCTGTTGGTGGGCATCATGACTGTGTTTTGGAAGAGGAACGACTTCGTGGTGGCTCCCACACTGAAGGAGGTAAATGAAATTCTGCAGCGTTGCCCATTGTGGATGAAGAGGATGGGCTGGTAGCCATCATTGCTCCCACACACCTGAAGAAGAATCTGGATGGCCCAGTGGCCTCCAACGATGCCAAGAAGCAGCTGCTATGAGGTGTGGTCCTTCCTGAGCCATGGCTCCACTTCCAGCTTTTGGCTTGTTCATTGGAGACAAGAGTTTCGTGGACTTTCCTGCCAAGGTTGGCTTTGAAGTGGGATCCTCTGAGAAGCTAGGATTCCAGGAGCCAGCCACCAGCACCTTGCTTAAATATAAGTACTAATCTTGTCTAAGAAAATATCATCATAGAAAAACAACTAATTTTGTTGGAGTAGGTATCTGGTCCAATATCTAGCCAAGTTGACATATCAAATTAACCATGGCAGAATCCTTGCTATCCAAATTTCCACCACTTCAGGTGAATCGCTGTCTTCTGGATGTTGACTTCTACCCCCACTTCCTTTGAATGCCTCTCGTGATCTACACTCAGGTAGGTAGCTCCCTTCAAACCCTATATAATACCCCGCGCTGACTCATCACCCAAATGCCAGCACAAATGTCAGCTTCTGTCACCTGCCCACACCACAAGCTTTACCTCCACAGCACCTGACACGCAAGACTTACTCAATAAACATTGAATTAATGAATTCTGTGCGCTACCATCTTCTATCTTCATTGCCTACCCATTCCTCTCTCTCCCTTCCTTCTCCACAAACAGAGCTATAAGTCAAGCTGACTAATACATTCTGTGAAATTTACTACGTACTGGGTTTTTAAATGATTATGCAACTAATTCAATAGCATATTCTTTTTCTTTTAATTTTTTTTGTTGGTTGTGGGACTTGAACTCTGGGCTTGGGCTCTGTCTCTCAGCTCTTCAGCTCAAGGCGAGCGCTCTACCACTTGAGCCACAGCGCCACTTCCAGTTTGCTGGTGGTTTATTGGAGATAAGGGTCTCATGGGTGTTCCTGTCCAGGCTTGGCTTTGAACCTTGATCCTCAGATCTCAGCCTCCAGAGTAGCTAGGATGACAGGCAAGAGCCACTGGTGCCCAGCTCACTAGCATATTCTTATGGGTTGGAATTTGATTTGTCCCCCAAAGATGTTGTGCTGGAGGTTGGGTCCAGGAAGCAATGAAAGAAAGTTGATCAGCATGATGATGAGGTGGGGCTTCATGGGAAATAATTACAAACCGAGTAACATTCTAGTCTTCAGAGTTCTTCTTCAGTATTACCTAATGGAAGTATTTCTTCCTTTCAGATCCATCTATAAATCAGAAGATTGGCATACTTCTGAAACTTAGTGGCTTGACCCCAAACGGACTAAGACACATATGCATGTAATGGCACTAAGTGTAACACCTCATCAACATGAGTAATTAGTTAGAACAGGAAGCTACCAGGTAGAAAATGTTCTCAGTAACACCCACATGGGAGCTGAGACATGAATTACCAAGTGCAAGGTGTGCTTCTAGCTCCATTATACCTCGTACTTATTCCCCCCACCCCACCGGCCCATCCTGGGGGTTGAACTCTGGGCCTGGGAGCTGACCCTGAGCTTTTTGTGCTCAAGGTTAGTCCTCTACTACTTGAGACACCACTCCACTTCTGGCCTTTAGTGGCTAATTAGAGATAAGAGTCTCACAGACTTTTCCAACCAGGTTGGCTTTGAACCATCATCCTCAGATCTCAGTCTCCTGAGTAGGAAGAAGTATAGGCATGAGCCGCCGGCACCTGGCTGTACCTCATAATTTTGAATGACAATATGTTTATTTCGTATGTGTGGGATGGGAAGTAGAACATATCCTCACAGCAGGAAGTTGTGGGTAGAATATGAACCTACCTTTCTGTCTTTGGAAAGGAGCCAGTCATCAAAAGCCTTCGCACGTCTTTGCATCTGATCATTCACCACTCTGCTTCCATCCATTTCTTTGCTCTTGCATTTCCTTCAACCAGCCAAGTCTCATTTGCCAGAGCCTCGAAGCATGTACTAATGAGATAGGCTAGCAGCTCTCCAGACATTCAGCTGCTCTGCCACCCACAAGAATATCACAAAGCATGACTTTGTGAGGGCCACATGGCACGAACTCATTCAGATCTACTCTGCCATGCATCGAGTTGGTTCTGTGCAGGTCCAGTACAGCCTTGGTGATCTCAGCTATAAAAAGCACGTTGTTTGGAATTTCAGGAAATCCTTGATAATTAAGTGTCAGTAGGGAAAATTTAATATGTCTGTTTTGTTGCCTCTCTTCTGTTCCTGACACATTCTCCCGATTCTCCAGTGCATCTCCCTGACAAAGGCATGGGCTGCAGAGATTTCTATTTCAATTGCAGATAAAGTGTCACACCAAGTCAGCTCCCCTAGTAATCAGAGGATCAAGGTAGATCGTTGCTTCCTTCAAGTCTGATGTCACAAATGCATCGCGTAGGGGATAACCTGGTACCACTTTGTCTCTGGCTGGGAAGAATCTGAAAAGAATAAATATGTTTAGCTGAGAAATCCTGAATGGACAGGTGGTTGGGAGGGAGGTGTCAATGGTAAAGATTCAGGGGCAGGTCTGTGGGTTTGGAGGGAAGATATGACTGGGACATCCTGAGAAAGACAGGAAAGACCACATGACGCAGACGGCCTCTTCGGGAATCACATCCTTTGTGGAACTGTCCACCTAGCAAGAGGGAAATGCCGCCTCTTCCACAGCATGGCCCCATGCACTCCTTTCTCATGGTCACCGTGACAAATGACCACTTTCAAATACACAGCCAGTCTAGGCATAGGAAGTCTAAAATGTGTCAGCCGAACGACATTGAGATGCTCTAAAGGAGAAAGTGGTCCTCGCTTTTCCCAGCTTCTCCACGTGGTCCAGATTCCTTGGTTTGTGACCCGCCGCTTTGTCCCTCTTCAAAGCCATCAGTGGGTGAAGCATCTGCAAAACTTGCTTCCACATCACACCACCCATTCCCCCTGCCTCTTTAAGAGTGATCTTCCTGGTCACATTAGGTACCGGGGTTATCTGCTGATCTCATCGTCCTTAATCTAAACCCATCTGCATAGCCTCTTTTGCCAAAGAAGGAAATAAACTCACAGATTCCAGACATCAGAATGAGGACATATTTAGGGACTCCAGTTTACCATACCCAAAGCTAGTTTTGTTTGTTTTCCATGGTGACTTTAGGGTGGTTGTGGCATGCAAGTCAATGGCTTCCACAAGAGTTACCTGCTTGCATTTCTTCTCTATGTTTCTTGGACTGTTCAGAGCTCTGGGCGCATGACTAGTCAAATCATAGGCCTAACTCTTGCTCACCACCAAGTCTTGCTTTTAATGTAAGAAAACAACAGCAAGGAGGAAAACAAAAGTTCGATTTCCATGAAGTTTAGTGATCTGAATAGCTGTTTACCAGTGTGAATGATTCAAAAGTGACAGAATAGGAGCACCTTGATTTAAATATAAGGATGAAGAGTTATTTTGGGTGTAGGCTCTGAAAGATGATCTGAGAAATATAGTGGAAATGAGTGTGGAAGCAAAAGGTTAGTTGTCTTGTTTTTTCTTCTTCAAAGTTTATAAGGAAACATGTTGAGGACTCAGTGTACGAGATGTCTCAAGGAAAAAGATAATGTAAGCTGGTTTTATTGACATTATTTACCAGTTGGCTCCTTTAAACTCTCCCAAATATAGAGAAATCACAACTTCATTTGAAAATTCAATAACCTTCAACTTTACACCATAAAGAACTGAATGGCCATAATAGAATCTGGCATCTCAAAAATATGAGATGTAGCTTAAACTATATCCATATTGCTTTTTAATTCTTTAGTGATTCTTTTTTAACTTTATTGTGTGTGTGTGTGTGTGTGTGTGTGTGTGTGTATTCTTTGAGTAGTTGTACAAAAGAGTTGCCATTTAACAAAGTAGTTTATGAATACAATACCACCTTTCAACTTTCACACTCTTTATGGTTGGGAATCTATTTCTCCTGTTTCACTAGGTGTACTGAATCCACCAACATTACAAAAAGTGCTTGGGCATGGTTGAGATGTAGAAATCCAGAATGTGTAGAATGCCCAATACAAATGGAAGAAACGAGTGCCAGGCCTCTCTCCTGTCCCAACTTTTTGCCATGTTCATAGTTCTTTCAGGCCTTATTAGCTGATGCATGATGAATCCTTCCTTCCCCTTCCCCCTCCACATCTGTTAAATTAGTTTCTCTCACACTGTGTATCAACCCTAGGGAAAGGGACGCAAGGCAGTTTGATTTGGAAATCAAATGAATACTCTCAGGTCACGGGATATCTTGTGATAGAATTGACTTATAACTGTATTTTGGAATACAGAAATACTGAGGGAAGTCAACTGCGTAGAGATGGCGCACACCATTTAATGTGTAGGACCAATAATGGACATTTTCACTTCTTGAAATCATCGGCAGCAGAAGGGAAAGGAGGCAGGAGGAGGAGAGGGCGAGATGGCACTGAACGGAAGGTTTCTGTATTAAGTTGTAAGTAGTGGGAGAGGAGGTGAATGTTTTGAATTCCAAAGTCCGTTTCTGACCTCAAACCAGAGGCCGTGCAAAGGTCGAAGGTTGCCAAAAGGTCCAAAGGTTGTGACAAGTTCTAATGGACGGGAGCTGCCATTTTGTGAAGACGGTGGCAGTTTGTTTAGTCTGATGATGAGTCCAGCCAGGTAGAAACGAGTCTCTTCTTCAGAAATTACATAAAGGAAAATGGCAGCAGTGGGTGGAGAAAAGTACCTGCCTCCTTAATTGTAACTTGAAGCATTCTGATATACTCTCTGTACAGCCTTTAGTTGTATACCATTGAATGCCACCTGAAGGGGAAAAAATAAAAGAGATAGAGCAAATTAAAAAAATTTCTAGGAAGTATAATGTTGTTACCTGGTCTTACACGTGTCATATCTCTAACAGGTTAAAAAAACAAAACAAAAGAATGCTAAAATAAATAAAAGAAAGCAAAGACTTCAGGTTTACCAAGATACAGATGTAGCATTTCTACCACTGATGGCTCAGAGAGCTCCCGTTTAAGCTATTTCAGTTGAGTACTTGGCAATACACAGACTGACAGTGTCAAACCAAATCGCTTTCCAGCTCTGATGATAAGAACCACGTGATGGCCAGTGACTATACAGAAATTTCGGATGTGTTAACTCTTTAGAAGTTTGCTGATAATCACCCTCAAGGTGTAGCCCACCATCACGAGTGCTTCAAAGGACCGAGTCCCTGGAGAGATCTTGTACATATGTATGTGTGTCTCCAAAGATGGCCGCTCACCCAGAATTCCACTTATTTTTTTACGGACACAGTGCATAGTCACTGTAGGAAATGTGAGTAAAACCCAGAACCACAAAGGGACAATAACTTCCCCAAGACCCTACCACCCTGAGCTTCAGTTGTTTGAGTGGCCACATCGGTGATTGTTGCCAATGACAAACCAGTGGTTTCTGAGGCTGGGTGTGGTGGTAGACACCTGTGACCCTAGTACTCAGGAGGCAGAGGCAGAAGGATGGAGAGTTCAAATCCAGCCTGAGCTATAGAGAAGCCTTCTCTCTACTAACAAGCAAGTAAAAAAAACCAGGCAGATAAACAAAACATGTGATTTCAGAGTGGTAGATGTTTGTATAACCATCACAGCCAATTTTTTAAAGCTGATCAGTATAATTTAATTACATTAATCTTGAGGAAAACTATAGTTAAATGTAGCAGAGCCATTTTTGTTACCATAACTAAATAGGGCAGTAGATGAGGCAGAAGGTGCTCTTCGCACTTAGAAGGTGGAGGCCACAGAGGCGCCGATACGTCTTACAAATGTAGCAAACTTAATGTTTGTCATCTTTCTTGTTACTGTGACAGAATCACTGAGACAATCCATTTGTTTTGGCTCACAGTCTCAAGAGGTTTTAGCTCCTGGTTGTTGTTCTGTGGGGTTACAGAACAACCATGGGGGCATAATGTGGCAGAAAAAGCCACTCGCCTTGAGAGGTGAACTATGATTCACTTCCTCTCCCCCAGCTGACTTCAATGGCCTCTAATTTTTGTTCTTTCCATTGAATGGAGAAGAGTTTTGGTTTGTTGAGTTGTGTTCATTGTATATAGTATGGATTGTTTTACAATTGGACTTTTCCCTTCTCTACCATGTTTTAGATATTTTTTTTTCAGGTTAACAAATAGATTTAGTTTGTTCTAAGTATCACACAACCCTCCATAGCTTGTCTATAACATAGTTTGTTCACTGTAGGTGATCAGTAAGACTATTGGCACGGCTTTTTACTGCTAAACATGGGGCTACCACAATAACCTTGATACATGCCCTTTCTCTGCAGCAGACACCAAGAAAAAGAATAATTTTAAAGATTGATGTACTAACTTGTACTTTTAATGGAAGTTTACCAATTGCCTAAAAAAATGTCCAAACCAATATAAATTATCATTGGAAATGCATAAGAATTTCCACTCCCCACATGATCATTAATCTCATATAATAAGACTTTCATATTTTTGTAAACAAGTCACATATTATTAAATGGGCACCTGAGACTCCGAACTGTAATCCTAGCTATGTGGGAGGCTTAGATCTGAGACTCATGGTTAGAAGCCAGCTCAGGCAGGAAAGTCTGTGAGATTGTTAAGTACACATGTTTGTGTTTGTGTTGTGTGTTTGTGGAGCAGTGGTTCAAGTGGTAGAGTGGGAGCCTTGAGCCAAAGGACTCAGGAACAGCTCCCAGGCCCCGAGTTCAAGCCCCAGGACTGCTATACACAGAAAAGTCCTATTTATGATTGTAATTTGTACCACCTTCATTTTTACTAACGTCCAACAGCTTTGTGTTTAGATTTATTTATATAAAAGACACTAGCCTTGAGTATTAAAGCTCGGGGACAGCATCCAGCAGATCAAGTACCAGGACTGGCATTAAATTTTTTTTTCAAAGAAAAACCTCTTGTTTCCATATCTTGGAGTTCATTTCTCTTAGCATCATCTTTTTAAACATTTTTATTTATTTTTTGTGTTTATGTGATGCCAAGGAATCGAACCCAGAACTTCATGCATGCTAGACAAGCACTCTACCACTAAGCTACAGTCTTTGTACCGCTTAGCATCATCTTATATGGTCATTTGTACATAGCTATTGAGCTATTGTGATCCTCTTCAAGGACTATCCTACATGTATACTAATTATTTAAATTATTATGAGGGAAACCATACAGTCTGTTTACAGTCTGGCTTACTTGAGGTTTTTTGTTGTTGTTTTTAATGTATTATGTGAATTTATTTTTTTATTGCATTTTTTCTTTTATAACTCCTATAGTTTACCTCTTGTTGTCACTGTATTTGATTTCGGTGTATTGTATATATCTTTATCTCAATTAGGGAAGGGAAACAAAATGGTGAGGCAAAGGGCAAACAGCGACACAATATGTTAGAAATGGACTTTACAACTTGGGGGTCCAATGCGGGGAAGGATAGTGGGAGGAAAATGAGGGAGGGGATAATAATATGTGACAAGAAATGTACTTACTACCTTACATATGTACCTGTAACCCCTCTCTACACCTTGACAATAAAATTAAATTTTAAGAATAAAAAAGAATTGCCTTCAAATTTCTTTTGACAAGTTTCCCCAGATAGCTAGGGTTAAAATAATTGATTTATAGAAGTTTTTAATATTTTTAATATTTTTTTCCTGTTATCTTTGTTTCCATGATTTCTACCAAGTTTATTCTCTATTGTTCGCATTTCAGGTCATTATTTATTTTCAAAATTGGAAAACATTGATATGTGTTCATAGTAATCATTTACTTGATGAATTTTACATTTGAGATGTTAAGAAGGCCTCTTTGTCTTCCATACTTAAAATATACCTTTCAGTGTTTGTTTTTTTTCTGTCAGTCCTGGGGCTTGAACTCTGGGCCTAGGCACTGTCCCTGGGCTCTTCAGCTCAAAGTGAGCACTCTTGAGCCATGTGCCACTTCCAGTTTTCTGGTGGTTAACTGGAGGTAAGAGTCTCACAGATTTTTCTTCCTGGGCTGGCTTTGAACTGTGATCCTCAGAACTCATCTTCCTGCCTAGCTAGGATTATAGGCGTGAGCCACCAGCACCCAACCCTTTTAGTATTTTCTTCTAATGTTTTTCCCATTTAGAGGATTTGTGCTTAACTCTCAGTCATGTGAGTGAGGGCAACTTCTCGGCCCTGCAGGCTGCATGGCTTTACAGGTCGCCATGTTGGGAAGGGCTTGGCAGATTATGCAGTAAATTCTGGGTAGTCATGGGCTCGATACCCAGCATTGGAAAAAAAATATCGGTGGGAAGGTGGAGACTGTCAGGATCTCTCCAGCTGCTCTCATGGTGTGATTGACGTCATGTAGACCCTGCGAAGCCTTTGTGATGACAAATGGCAAGTAGTCCATGTCCAGTGAGTGTGTTCTGGTACGAGGACTATGCCCACACTCATGTTAAATGTATGTCTTTAAACATCCAGACTTACCTTTAGTGTGCGCTTCCACTTTACAGAACTGACCGGGCTTTGTTCTGCAGGTCCCAAAGTCTAAAAGACATCCATGGAAGGGGATGGAGAGATTGCATAACCTACAAATCACACCTCTGACATCTCCAGGGGCAGAGGTGGAAAATGAGGGGAGACAGTGATGGAGGCCAGAGAGAAAGAAAAAGAAGCAGGGGCGAGGGGTGAAGAAATAAATAGGTAAATAAATAAGTGCACATAAAACAGTGATTGGAAACAAACAGGTAAATAAACAAATATAAATACAGCACTGATTTCAGTTTTGAGAAGTAAATGTAGAAGTGGCGCTGTGGCTCAAGTGGTAGAGCGCTGGCCTTGAGCGGAAGAGCTGAGGGACAGCACCCAGGCCCAGAGTTCAAGCCCCAAGACTGACAATAAGTAAATAAACAAGTAAGTAAATGCGAATTAAACAATTACATTTTTCAATTCACAAAAATTAGAATGATCTCTCCTTTTTTGACATTTACTGATGAAAACTTCCAAACAGCACATGCTGCATTAATATAGTGAAAGCACCTTCCTTTGAAGGTAATCATAAATGAGGAGGATTTCTCGGAGCTTAATTAAATCAAATCAAAATTATTTCACCAAAGAATTTAATTTGAGCCACATATCTGCTGTTTAGACTTCATTGCTATGCCTACTGTAGCATAGTCTACATATCATGAATGATTTTTTTTTTGTATATTGGTTCTCTTCTATACCCAAATTCAGTGACTCAAAAATTTATTCACTTGGGTTACATAGAGCTAGTTTAGAGCTTCTTGAACACAAACAACTAAAGATTGGAAAGACATTATTATCTAGAAGATTGGTTCCCAAATTATAATGTGGATTATATTTATTTGAGTGGTTAAAATAAAATCAAGCAGATTCCCAGAGCCCCCACAGACTTGAGTTAGAATCTGTGGGAGATGTGGAGATAGAATCTGTGGGAGTGTGTGTTTTAGACGTGCAGAAATAGCTGAGTGGTTATTATTTGACAAAAGAGGTCTGAATCAGTGTTGGAGAACCATTGTGTCTACTAATTCAGTTATCCTTGATAATGACTCCTGGAGAGAGCCGTGGCCACTGATGGAAAGCCGCTTGCTACTAAAAATAGTAGGGATTGTTAAAAATAGCACAGATTGTGAAACGATTCCTCGGTAACTGAAACAAAATTTGGCTTAGTTTTCACTGTTGCCATCTTTCAGTGTATAATGCTCATGGTCACGTCATTGCTACTCATTGATAACCCTAATTAAAAGTTGACTAGACATGAACTCCAGGGAAAGAAGACAAGAGATATGCTTCCATTGCTGTGGTTGCTGTCTTGTTTTCTTTCCCTTTTGTCTTGTTTATTTGTTTGTGTTTGGGACACTAGACGCTATGGAAAATGAACTGAATATCTTGTGGTGAGGATGGGAGGAAAAGAATGGGGGAGAGCAAAGGAAAGGGAGACATGGTCCCAAAAGAATTGTACTCAATACACATTACCTGATTCATGTAACTGTAACCCCTGTGTTTATAAACACTACAATAACAATTCAAAAACAGTTGACTAAGCACATTGTATAATGGATTTTATAGGTCTGCCTGCCAATGCAATGTCTGCATACCATTTTATATCTTTGTCTGTATTTCGGGGGGAGGCTCCTCCCTTTCCTTCACTCCCCACCTCCTTTTCCTTTGTAAATAACAACAACAAAACAAATAGGCAAGGTACCAGTGGCTCATACCTGTAACCCTAGCTGCTCAGGAGGTTGAGACTTGAGGATCACTGTGTGAAGCCAGCTTGGCAGGGAAGCAAAGTCCACGAGGCTCTGGCCTCCAATTAATCACAGCAAAAGCTGAAAGTGGAGCTATGGCTCAAGTGGGAGAGCACTACCCTTGAGCTAAAAGAAGCTCAGGGACAGTGCCCAGGCCCAGAATTCAAGCTCCAGGATCAGCAAACAAAAACAAAACCCAAACCAAAAGAAAACCGTAGAGTCTTCCTACGTAGCCCAGATTGGCCTCAAACTCACAATCTTCCTATCGTAGCTTCCCAAGGACTAAGAGTATAGGAATGTATCACAACTTCTTGTTAGGCTTATCTCATTTATACTATCTGGCCAAGCATAATAGGTATTGAGCCCAGTATTTGGTACAAAAAGCCCACAAGGTACAACACCAGTATTTTGTTTATTCTAGGATACCTTATTGATTCTCCTGCTGAAGAGTATAGTCTGAAAACCAAGAGTATTAACCAGATTGTTAGAAATGTAAACTCTCAGACTTTGGCCTCTACCTACTGAATCTGACGCTTCATTTTAAGGTCCTCCGGTGATTCTTATGTATGTTACATTTGCCACATACTGTTACTGAGGGTGCCTTCTCTTCCCTCTTTATGCAGGATGTCTGTAATACACTCTACGCTGCTACCTTCTGGGGTCCACAAAGTGCCCTTACACCTTATGAAGAGGGAGAAAGAATCCCACAAAGGTACTTGAGCACATATTTGGAGACATATTTTTCTGAACGTTTACTGAGTGTGAAGCCTCTTAATAGTTCTATAAATTGAATTGAAAGTCCCTATTATCTCCATACATTTTTTTAATACATAAAGGAGTATTGGAGGTGATGGCGAAGAATACTCAGAACATGAAAAGTACTGGGAGCTTGGTCCATACTTTTGCTCAAATTAACTTGCTTTGTCACACCTAGCCTAGTTTGCTAAGTGCTCAATAAATGCTAGCACTGGTTACTGTTAGTTGAGAGCTTATTCTGGTTTTGTTCTAACTCCACAGGGATTAATAAAGCAGTGTTTCTTTCCTTCTTTCTTTTTGCTTTGTTGGTTGTGGGGCTTGAACTTATGGCCTGGGCTCTGTCCCTGAGCTCTTTTGCTCAAAGCTACCATTCTACCACTTTGAGCCACAGCACTACTTTGAGTTTTCTGGTGGTTAATTGCAGATAAGAGTCTCACGGAGTTTCCTGCCTGGGCTGGCTTTGAACTGTAATCCTCAGATCTCAGCCTCCTGGCTAGCTAAGATTACAGGTGTGAACCACCAAGGCATCTGGCATAGAGCAGTATTTCCTAAGAGTCAGAAGATGATTAACCCAAAAGTAGGTTTAGGAAAAAAGAAAGAGTAGGTAAAGCCTAAATAGTACCTTCCAAAATTTCTTATTTTCCACCTAGAGATATTGTAACTCTGCAATTTCTTAAATAATTTGATTATGTTTTCTGATGACTTACCACCTAAGAGACAGGAAAAGATAAAAACACCAGCAAAGACAGTCTTTCTCATTGTCAGTTTACAGCCAAAAGGAGGTTGAACCATATGTCTCGTCATTAAACTTTTCCTGGGGAAATAATATCATTACATAGCTATATCAGGGGTGTTCAAAAGACAAATCACTGATGAATTTTTATTTATTTCTATAAGAAACATGAAATTATTTTGTTCATGACAAAAATCAAACCACTAGTCTCCATAGAAATTTCACCATAAAACTTCCAGCTGTAGAACTTTTTAAGCTTAGATGTCTTTTTATAACTGTCATACCCCCCCTTTACTTTTCCCTGGAGAATGATAGTTTAATAGAAAAAAGAATAAAGTGATATAGATGATGCTTTAGGGGTTATGTTGTGTTAGAAATCCTTGTAACTTGTAGTGGATTTGAAAATAATTTCAACCTCTTCATAAACTAACGTTTTCCCTGAAAAGGTTGTGTGTATAAGGAACAGCCTATGATAAATGACCACTAGTTAGTATTTAGGCAAAATTTGAGAAACTGAGCTGTCAGACTTCTGTTATTTGTGACTTACCTATCTGGAGGAATTCTTTTTTCGGTGTAAATGTTATGGGAAGGTGTGTAACATGTAAAATTTCTGATGGAATGAAGTCACCTATAACAGAAACCAACTGCCGAGTTCCAAGCTGGATGAACAGTTAAAAGATGCTTAAGTAGACGAGCAGGAAAGGTTTATACTCGAACTCTCTGGTATACATGGACCTTAGTAACTCTTTCATGATTAAAAAACATAGGAAGTTAGTCAACAATTGGACTTCGGATCAATTTGGCTAAAGATTTCTATATGAGTTATTTCGATGTATATGTCCATAAGGGCACACTATTTATTATAATGTGGTGTGTGTGTGTGTGTGTGTGTGTGTGTGTGTGTGTGTGTGGTATTGAACTTTCTATATGCCAATGCTAGATATGCTCTACCACTGAGCTAAGCCTTTTGCAGCTCTGGTGTTCATTTTTCAAGGAATACCATAGTACTGGGCACCAGAGGCTCATGCCCATGGTCTTACCTACTCAGGAAGCTGAGGCCTGGAAGGTAGAGGAAGTTAGTCAAGTACAAAGCTCTGGGAGACATCATTGCTAATTAACTGGCAAATATCAGTCTGGAGATGTGGTTCAAGTTGTGGAGTCAGTGGTGAGTAAGCAAACTCAGCAAGTGGGAGTTCACAACCCAGAACTGGCAACCCCCTTAAAAAACAAAATGCAAGAAACAACAAAGCAAATGAACACAAAGAAATACCGTAGAATCCTTAGTGTAGTCATTCAGCCAAGAAATAATAAAGGTTGGAACCAGAGCACACACAAAGAAAAGGGGTGGTAAGGTGGGTTGGAGGAGGTATGGTTTGGTGAAGAAATACCTGCTAGACAAATCCCAAGTCCTGAGTCCAAACTCCAGTACTGCAAAAAAATAAAGCGAGAGACATGGTTATGGAAGACTAATTCTTTAGTATCCTAACCCTAGAGGTCTGTGTAAATCAGGGCCAGTCTTTACCCACTGCACTCATTATATGAATTACCTCTTTATTCTCTCTCGCCTGCTTGTTATTTTCCTGACTGAAGACGCACCATCTTGCTTCACACAGGATATCCGGTCATTATAGGCATATGACAGACAGATGGAATACCTTAGATAGGAAGTTTGGAGGAGAATCCTAGAGTGGCTTGAGGATGCGGATCTGTGGAAGGAGTAGTGGTGTTGAGTAGCGAGGATGAGCCCTCAGGCTTGGAGGACTCTCCTTAGGGGTTTAGGCTGTGGTTCCAAAGGGTATGTAAGGCCTGAGAGGATGAACAGACTCTTAATTTGTCTGTGTGGTTCCTGAATTGGTTTGCTCTCTTGGCTCTCCTGTAGCAGTTGGCGGGAAGAATTAGTTGGTCTCTGGGATGCAATATCCTGGAACCCGAGTTAGTGAGGAGTTTGGAGCTAGATTTACTGGAACATGTAGGGAGGGGTTCTGTACAAGAAAATCAGGGTGCAGTGGTCTTCCTCCCTAAATGTTCACTACTGCAGCACTACAAAGACTTGGAATCTGTATGATAGTATTCTGTGTTTCTATCTACTCGTAAACAAGGTAATTGTATTGCATTCCTCCAGTTGTAAGCAATCAGGATACTTTGAATAAGAAATTTTGCATGGGCAGGTAAGTTTGTAAAAGTCATATATGATATTCTTTAATGGAACCCTTAAAATGTTTGGAACATTGGAAGCTCTAAGTCTTGCTGAGGTAAATAAACTGATCTTTCCTGAATTTGGTTGACCAGCTAGTTATTATTGCTTCTTCTGGTGCATCTTTACATAATTAAAAACAAGTTCTGATCCAAATAGCCTCCCACCAACATCTGTAAGTCTTATATTTGAAGAATTAGAGCTTGTAATTGTGTTTTACTTCACACTGCCAGAGCACACTGATTTCCTAGTTGCCTTTAACAAGTCTTCTCATATTAGGGATTAAAGAAGAGATTTTTATTCCCATTGAAGAAAATGTAGGTCAGATAGGCTATAAGATTTTCACAATATGACATCATGAATCAGTGGTAGATGTGGACGAGAAACTACGGCCAAAAACATAAAACAAAATAAAACAAGACACAGCATCCTAATTCCTCATAATGCTACTTTTTAATATGTATGTAAAATATGTATATATATGAACATGAATATTATGTAAAGTTGAACTTTAAATATATAATGTATTTGGTATCACGTATATTACACATGTCACTGATGAGCACATGTGAAATTTAACATGTGGCCAATGAAGATGTTATAATTTCATATGAATATTATAATTTATGTATTATAGTAAGTAGAATCTAGGTAGGCTTAAGATTCTTAGGCAAGTTTCCAATATTGCAGTTTATTTATTTATTCAATTAAGATTTATTGATTTCCTATATGTCAGATACCATATAAGTGTATCATAAAACAAGATCAATAATGGCTTGCTTTTCTGAAGCTTGTATTCGGTTGAGGGAAAAAAGCCAGAAAGAAAACACATAACCACAAACAAATCCAATAACATCAAATAATGAGATGCTATAAGAAAATAACACATGGAGATGGGATACAAGTCATGGTGGAGAAGAAGTACCTACCAGAGCCCCGTCAGGAGATATGGGATATGGGTTGAACAGTATCCCCTGTCCTTTCCAGATAAATATCATATGCAGTCCTAAATCCTCACATACCTCGGCATATGACCTTAATTCAAAATAGGGTAATTTCATCATTGGCAAAATTAATTGGTATGAGATCATTAAAGTGGGCCCTAATTTAGCTGCTGCTCCTACAAAAAGGAGACATTTGGACATAGGCAGTCCTCAGGAAAAATGGCATGTGAAGAAGAAGGCCAAGACTGGAATCGTGTTCCTACAGCCCAGGCATGTCAATGATCAGGCCTCCAGGTCCAGAAGCTGGGAGAGTGGACTGGCATATGGCAACCACCCCTCACATGGAACTTCTGGCATCCAGAACTGTCTAACCAACTGTTGTTAATGGCACTCGATTCATGATGCTTTTTTTTTTTTAAAGTTTTTTATTGTGAAAATACTGTACAGAGGGGTTATAGTTATATGAGCAAGGTAATGAGTACATTTCCTATCCAGCATTGTTGCCTCCTCCTTTGTTTTTCCCCTACTATCCCTTCCCTCCCTCCCCACCTCTACAACTTCACCCCCTTTCCCCTCCCCAGCCTAAATTGTAAAGTTCATTTTTCAACATAGCATTGCAATGGGTCCACCTGTATCCCTATTTAAACAATTTGTTTTTTTCCTTCCACTCCCTAAATTATACCAACATCAAATACAGTGAAAACAAGGGTTATACCGTGGGGGAGGGACATACAAAGCAACAAAGAAATCATCTTATAAATATGTTAGAAACAATAGCAAGAAAGAAAAACAATTTGAGTCTTTATCTTGAGGTTCATTTCACCTAACATCAACTTGTCTGACCTTTTCTGTTTGTCTCAGACATATACTAGTTATTGCAGATAAGGGAAACCATGGGACCTATGCTTCTTTGGGCCTGGATTACTTCACTTAATATAATTTTCTCCAAGTCTTTACATTCCTAACAAATTCCTGATGCTTTTGTTATGGCAGTCCTAGCCAATGAACACAACAGAGAAGGGACAGCACATTGAAGATGGTGGGTGTTCCACAAAGGTCCTTGAAACACATAACCTTCGAGGTGTCTTATACCAAAATGTGAAGGAAAATGCGACTAGCAGAAGCTTTCAGGACCTATTCTGAGGGGCAAAGGCCAAAGGTGGGGGAAGGAGGGACAGATAGAGAGACACAGACGGACAGAGACAGAGAAGAGAGAAAGCTGAAGAGAGACAGAGACAGAGAGATACAGAGAAAGAGACACAGAGAGAGAAAGACAGAGAAAGTCCTGTTGATGTACCTCTGGTTAGCTTTCTGGATTAATGTGAGACAGGGCAACTAGATTCAGTTTAGAGATGGTTAGAAAGTATCTTTTGAAGGGTTGACATGTGAATCCAAGGCTGGATTGACATAAAGGAGGAGGGTCAGATGTCAAGGTCTTGAAGTGAGAAGGAATGTATCTGAGGTACAGGAAGAGGGCTTGTAGTGCAGTGAGCAAAGAAAGTGGCCACATGCATGATAACTCAAGGTGGACAGATTTGGGTCTCATAGGTCAAGGAAAAGTTTAGAATTGGTTCTAAATGTAATGGGAAGCAAACAGAGAACTTCAAGTCAGTGGGATGTAATACAATTTTCAACGTAGATGGATTGCAAAATAAATGAAATGGGGCTTGTTTGTGCATTATATGTGGGGATAGCAGGGAAAAAAGGGAGTGATCGAGGTTGACATCTAGATTTTTGGTTTGGGTCATTCAGAAGTTCATCACGTAAGTAAGTGGAATACGAAAGTCAAATTTGACAGAAAAACTGTGCATTTGGATGGAGGTAGTTTTGCTTTAAATATTCCATAAACTTCCAAATGAAGATTTCAAGTAGCAGGTGGTTATGACTCTCAATCTCCAAAGAGAGTCAGGGCTGCAAATATAAATTTGATGTG